GAAATTCTCTGAAGGCAGACTAGAGATGTTCAAGTTCTAGAAACCAAAAACATGTTTTCTAAGGTGGCCGTGATCCTGACCTTTGACCTTAGACCACCCAAGTGTAATCAGTTACTTTAGAGAGAGAACATTTGTGCCAATTTTGAAAGGATTCTCTCAAGGTGTTCTTAACACAGTCATGAACAAAACCTTTTTGACATCACAGTGTCCGTTGACCACTAAAATCGAATCAGCACATTCTTGAGTGCAACTGAACGTTTGTACTAAATTTGAAGAAATTCTCATCAGGAATTGTTGAAGTGTGACCACTAGAAAACACACAACCTCTGGCCACCTGCTGTCGCTGGCACGGATGCATACAAATCCATAAATGTAACACAGACAGAATGTGTGTGTGTGTGTGTTTACCTGCGGAACAGTTTGACATCGCCTGTGTTGTTTGTGATGGTGGACCACTGGTTGACCAGCGGGATGGAGAGGTTTTTGGCCAGATGGGAGGAATCGCAGGGCATGAGGGAAGAGCTGGAGAAATCACAGAGAAAAAAAGTGTAAACATTACATGTGGAAAAAAGCATCTGCTCGCTCAAAACTGTGTAAATATCTTTTTTAATTTACAAGCATTTGTCAGACTCTCTCTTTCAGGCATGAGCAGGTTTCAGATGCATTCAGCAGTTTAATGTCTTTAAGCTGCTGCACCTCAGCCAAGTCTATTTTCTACTTATCTTAGCAAAATGATATGGACCCAGTTATTTAAGGCTTATGAATATTTCTTATGAATCTCTCTGATTTATGTTTCTGTGATAATAGAGTTCAGTACTTTGTGGAGTAATCCTAAACTTTATAAACACAGTCTGAAACTCAACCCTCCAGTTGTAAGCTATGGGGGGAAGTGGGGATTTGGGGGCATTCTGGGTAGTGTAACAGCACCAAGCTTCACACCTACAGGTATTTGGTTTTCACTGCATGGTGGTATACTTAAAATCAGATGTGTTGGAGTTTTAAACATGTAGCATCTTACTGTGCATTGCATCATAAACCAAAACAATCAAAAATGGCATCTGTATCAAATTTTCAGTCTTGTTTATTCTTCTATAGAGAAACATTAAACTTTTTTATAGAGCAATAACTTGAAAATAACTGTTCCTAATTATAAGGTTATTATTACTTAAAATTCCAATTGTACCTCCTTGTTGAACTCCTGCTACTAAACGTGCACATGTGTGAAAAGCAAACACGTGTTTGTGATAGGAGGAACACAAACAGGATCTGCTGTGACGCTGTTTGGAACATGTGGTTATAGTTGGAAATTTTTATAAGCGCAATGTAATCCTGAGTGTTTTCTTACAGTTGTGCCTGTAACTCCAGCACAATGGCCTCCAGCTCCTTCTTCTCCTGTTGGCCCTGAACCGTCAGCTCTTCCACCTTGGATCGCAGACACTTGTTCTCCGTCTCCACGTTCTTCAGCTGGGACTCCCGCAAACGCACCAGCTCCTCCAGGTAACCCTGCACACCAAGAAAACAGGTTAGTATTTAAATGTCATTCATTTGGTTTCAGAACTGGATCTAGTTGTGGAGTTACCTTCTGGGCGTAGACGATCTTAAACCTCTGCTCCATCTTGCGGCACTTGTTGCTCCAGCTCTCCTCGTCAGTCACCAGAGGGATGTAGGGATGCTCGGGGACGCTCTCCTCGCTGTTGCTGCTGTCCACACTGCGGCGGTCCTCCTCGTCGCTCAGGTAGTCGTAACTGCACAGCCAGAGGGGGCAGGAGGTGAAATGGTGGTTAAACATGTGAACTGTTACTGGTGGAGTGAAAAGACGGACTGGGTGGGTATAACCTCTGGGTGAACTTCAGGTAGGGTGTGTAGTCAACCACAGCTGGAGATTTCCCATCAAGAGTCTCACCCTTCAAGCAAAAACTGCACAGAAAGAGACAAACAGACAGACGGGTTCTCAAAACGACTGAAGGACTTTTTTGGTCTTAGAAATTCTCCATCAATTGAAGTTTTTAAAACCAGATTGAAGTAGTGAATTCACAGAACAAGTATTTTACGAAAGAATTTTACAAGGTCATACCATCATTACATATCATTCTATTTCCCTCCTTCAAGTTATTATTAAGGTTTCATACATATTCGTGCTCTTTGTTTATTTTACCTCTTTTATTCTCTTTACCTCTTTTATATGACTCTTTTTAATTCTCTCTTATTTTGCTTGAAAAACTCTGCTTCTTATTGATATCTTTCAGTTTATCATGTCCCTGTGCAGCACCTTGAATCTTTCTCTGTGTATGAAATGTTCTATATGAATAAAATGTCCTTGCTTGACGTTTTACCTCAAACCCGATGGGTAAACATCTACTCATCCATGGGTAAATATTGTAAATATCTATGCACTGAAATGCAGCATGTATACATACTCCACATACATGCATCTGCTAATATCTTTATCAACTATAAGAGTTTAGATCCAACTTGAGATTGGAAAATATTTCTGTGACAGATTATTCATAGATATTAGATTATATTATTATTTCAGTTTAATTTGATTGAAGATCCATCTGTACTCCAAACATAGATTAAGCCAAACTCAAAATCAGAGTAATAATAATTAACGTAACAGACCATAAAGTAGATTCCACATAATTGTGTTTAATGGAAAGGCTGGGGTACACAGATGTATGCATGAGTATGTACTTATTGAAACACTTTATATCAGAGTCTACAGGGTGTGTCCTCACCTGAAGTCAATAGCACTCAGTCCAATCAGCATCCCGGTCAGAACTGTGGCTTCTTCTCTCAGCATGATGGCTCCATCATCATAGAACCTCCTGTCAGGAAAAGAGGTGGTTATCACATCTGAACTCACATAAACCAATGCTATGAAAATGTTGGGATTCTGCCTGCAGCCAATTAGTGACTGACTTTATATTACAGCTGAAGTACTAAACTTCTGGAGCAGGCTTGTGTTTCCCCCTGGTGGACACAAAGTTCCACTATTCTACTCATACACAAGACAAACTAAATTATTAGGATCAGCACAAGTACCCAGCATGGAGGTGCAGCACATTGTTGCAGTTAAATCATAAATGTGGCTTCAATAAAACTTTTTATTTTATATTTATTGTGGTTATCAACACAGACTGTATCTACATGACAGCTCCCAAAAGTGAAGCCAAAGTCTCTTGACTGCCCTCTGGTGGCTGTAAGTCATACACCCTGCCCCATCCAAGTACACATCAAATACATTTTTTCAAAGATGTTTTCTTTCATTTTTTAATCAAAGTGATGTGTGTTAATGTGATAATTTTTCTGATGAAAAAACGTGTGATAGGTTGAGTGCACGTATCGGTGGGACCTTGTAATACCACAGCTCTATCCTCTGAATGCCAGCTCCAATCGACTTAATCACAAGATGGCAGTGTTCGTATTTGGGATATTTCCACTTGATTTCTAGACAGTGGTAGAAAGTGGACATGTGTCATCCATACAGTCATGGTTGTCCCTTCAAATCATTACTCTGACCTGGTGGTTCTTGTGTCTCTCAGAGCAGTGGACACATATTCAGAGAGACGTTTCTCCATCAGCGCCACTCGAATCCATGCCCGGCCCTGTGGGACAACGTGAGAAGGGAGTAAGAACAGAGGGTGTTTTTATACACCACCACTAAGTCATACACCCATTTGTGCATCGAAACATTCTTACCTTGGCTCGTGATGTGCTGATGTTCTCTATGTTTTCGATGCTGGCAATGCAGTTGTTCTGCACTTTGCTGCACGCCACTCGGATATACTCCCAGAAACTGCGTTGTCCATCTGAGCTGAACCAGCTTCCAGAACCTGGTCCAAGATTTAAACGCAGCCGTGAATTATATCACACTATAATAATGAAGCCATGGCACCAGTACAGCCAGAACAGTATGTCTACAGTACACTATATGAATGAGATTGATATTCCAGTTTTATGTTAAATAACTTTTTACAGTCACACTGATTCATTTAAACTGATTTGTCCATCTCATTCCTGTGCTATATGTTACCTGCAGTGTTACCTTTGAAGCGGTGGCTGAGGATGTGCTCTAAAATGGCGGCAAAGTTAATAAACTCCTCGGATGAGTCATCTATGGGCTCTGCTGTGTACTTTTCTAGGAGAGTCTTTACAGAGAATCTGAAATAGAAGCAGACACGCAGACATTTGAATTAGAAAAGTACAATAGGAAATAAAAATCTACTTCACAAAAGAAAAGGGTTTGAACTTTGAGTCAGTTGCCTGCTGCACGAGCCTCTGGAATGCAGCCTTGTACTGTATCCAAGCTGACAAATGTACGACTGTATTTGAACCCTGCAGCAACAGCAGGGAGGTTTTTTCTTCTTTTGGGAACCATGCCATCTTATCATACTGAGGTCACCCCAATTGTTTTGTGTACAATGTACAATGTACCCCTTCAGTGCTTTGGCAGTGTTATGAAAACGATACAATTAATCCCCTGTCTTCCCAGCCTTTGTGCACGCTGTGCTTCCAGGTCCCTTTGGGTCGTGTCGCTTTGAGCACTGGTTAGCATCGAAGAATGATCAAATAATTCCCTCCCCCTCATCTATACATTGTGGTCTGATCTATTTAGGGCTGCTGCTGCAGCTTTAGTTTGGCTTTTGACCTCACAAGCTCACCCTGCTGCGCCACGAGAGAGAGGCTATGCAGCGTGCATGTTAGGAGCCGGTGATCAGGCACGGGCTCGGGCTGACTGCCTCAGCTTCGATGGGAAACACTAGCATCACAGAGGGCAAGACTGCCCTGGCAGTGGGAAAGACCTCCATAGCCAGGGGGAAAACTACCGTCTCCTTGGGCAACTCCTCCATCTTCAGGGGAGTGACCACCACCTCCATGGGAGACTCTACCATTCAAAGGCAAAAGACGACCGTGGCTCTGGGACGGGCCAGCTTCAGCCGGGGAACCACGACCACCTCATTCCGCAAAGCCTTGATGTCCAAGCACAGGAACACCTAGATGGAAAGGACCCCTGAAGCCAGGGCTAAGGCACCCAAAGCATCCAAGCAGTCCAAACAAGGCTTTAACAATGAGTGGAAAACCACATTCTCATCAAGCAAGACCTCCTTCACCAAAGGCAGGGTTTCGATCCTGAGGAATAAGTACGACATCTCCTGGGGCAAATCCTCGATCTCCTGGAGCAGAACCACAGTAACTTTGGGCAACGCTGGCATAGCAGTGGGCAAAACATCTGTCACACGAGGGGAGACCACGAGCTCACTCACCACTCTGACACTCACTCATGGGACCAAGTCTGTGTCTGTGGTCAAAACCACCCTCATCAGGGGCAAAGAAACGCACAGCAACGTCTACTGGGATTTTCACACATGAATCCTGCACACACTTAAAAACCCAAGGATATGTCTGTCTGGTCAGTTTTAGCAGGTTAGTAGAATAAAGAGCTGCTATGTTTGTGATCAGTGTGTGTCAAGAGTTACAGATCAATAAGAACATGACCCTGCACAGAGAACAAGAGGCGATTCTCAGGTGAGAACACGCTAAGGGAGTCACGGGTCTGAGGGGTTTGCAATCAAGAATCGAGAGCGTTATGCAAATGTGACGGCGGTGAGACGATGGTTTATGGCGTGTCAACTTGGCAGGGAGGGGAAATGTGAAACAGCTGTGTGTGATGTATGTGGAGACACAAAAGGGAGTGTGTGAATGCATTTCATCAGCACTGTTCTAGTGTTTTTGTGCATGTAAAAGTCATCAACACTGGTATAAATGAGGTTTATTTGTGCAAGCTGATGAGATTGCTTGATATTCCGAAGTCTGTCTGCATTACCATAACTATTCTGCCATATGTTACATAGAAGCTGACTGATGTAACAGTGCTTATAAAAGTTAACATGTCTAAACACTGCTTGGCTTGGTTGTTTTGTAAGTAGAGCTGACTTTTTATTGAAGTATTCAATCATCTAAATTAAATAAAATGGAGGGAAATGAGGGAATTGCTGGAATGGGTTGTGAACAGGTCAACAAGGACACAAACAGAGGGGCCACACCTATATTTCAAGTGGAGGGACAAGGCAAACACAAGGCAGGTGCAATCACAGCCTAAAATTCATGTGGACAACATGGAAGACATGCATCCTTTCTCTTATCAAATCCGACTAGATGCGACTCATTTCACATATGGTGCATACAGTCGTACACAGAGGGAATATCTTTCAATCAGAGGCTATAGGGAACAATGGCTCAGAAGAAAGTGATGTCACCGCAGATTGCCCTCTTTGCAACAATGTGTCCTTCAACTGTCCGGTGTCGTCGTGGTGATGGGACAATCGCACCACTGTCCCGGACTCCCCAGATAGGCTGTGGCCACCTACGGCTGCCTCTGTCCATTCACAGGGACACATGGGTGGTATGTGGCCTTCCAGAGCCCACGTCGACCAGCTCAACGAGGGCATTATGCGACACGGGGGTCGTGCTATCCACGCTTAGCATTCTGGTCCACTCTGGATTGTAGCTGATGTTACTATTACCCGTGAGGTCTCGCAGAGCAGGGCGTGCTGCATGAGTGTGCGATGCTTCGCGTCGAGTGAGCCCCGAACCCCGTTGTCGAATCTGGGTCAGGAAGACAAGCTTCTCCTCAATGGGCAACACCAGCTTCACCGAGGGGAAGACGGCCCTTTCCCTGGGCAGCACCACCATAAAGAGGGGGAAGAGCAAGCTCGCCATGGGGAACTCCTCCATCACCAGGGGCAGGAGCACGACATCCCTGGGCTCCTCCACCATCACCAGTGGGAAGACCAAGATCGCCCTGGGCAGCGCCTCATTCAGCAGAGGCACCACCACCACCTCGTTTCGGAAAGCCTTCTTCCCCAAGCGCAAGACGCTCTAGATGAGAGGGGAGCGCACTGCGGGGTGGGGGGACTGGCAGAACATGTCACGAGAAAATGGTACCATCACAGAGAACATACAGACACCACCACAGCAGCCGGGCAGGGTCTATTTCAACTGAGAGCCAAAACTGGATTAAAATTACTTTTGGAGCCTTTGACTTGTTGCGATCATGCCGGATTTATCAAGAACACAGGTCAGTGCTGTCTGATAATGTTTTCTGCAAAGTAGCTAAGTCAGGGTTTAAATGTAGAGTAGAGCTCATGAGAGTTAGGTTAGACAGGGCTCCTGCAAGTATGTGCTCGACTCCATTACCCAACTAAATCCATTTGCCAGGTGATGCCAGTTTAATTGCAAGTAAGAATAATGTGTTTTGGAGCAGAGATTCACATATTTAACACCACAGATGCTGTGATGTGACTTTGCCTTCAGGAATCTGCTCAGGAGAGAAGTTTTGCTTGTAGAGAAAGGTACAATTCTGTCTAAAGATTCACGGTGCAGAGCGGTAACTGTTCATAAATTCCCTGATTGTGCAGCAAAATCAAGTAACTCCTCATTATGGAGAAACCAACAAGTGCCCCCAGTGGTTCCCAGGGAGTGTGGGCTCCCTGATTAATGGCCAAGCATTTGAAATCATAACAGAGGGGAGTCAGCTGTAGCAAAAGGCCTCTCTGACCTGATAAAGGGGCAGCTTTATCTCGAAAAGAACATTACGGCCGACGCTTGTAAATTCTCTTGATGTGAAGGGGGAATCGCTGGCGTGGCTTAAATGTAAATGGTTGGAGTGGAATAGCAACATGCTCTTGGTACGATTTGACACTGAAAAACAACTGCGGGCCCCTCTGACAAGCTTCTTTTGTGCCCCCTCTCACTCCGCCTGGATCTGCGCCAGGCCCACTCTCAACTCTCTGTAAATGCCCTCTTGTTCTCCCTTTTCACTCCTCTACTGTACTTACACAAGAGTGTTTGATGTGCACACGACCAAAACTGCATTTATTGGCTTAACCTAAAACACACAGCTTCACTTTAACTCTCAACTTTGGCTTTTTTCTTTATTTCCTCACTCCCCCCCATAAACATTCCCATGACTCCTTTCTCTTTTTCTTCTTATTTCTGTCTCTCTCTTTAGTCTTGGCATAACCAGCAGGATCAGATGACACAGACAGACTCCTCACTGGCTGCAGCATTGTGTAACACCGGCCAATGCTGTATTGATCATCCTGGACGGTTGCGGGGAGAAGTCCTGTGTCCTGGATTCGTCACAAAACAGCCATGAGAAAGAAAAAAAGCTTTGTTCTCGGATGAACATTAAAATAAGAATAATAATTGGGTCCAAATCCAAATAGAGTAAAAGATGTAAACATTTAAAAACTACAGCAGGGTGTGTCCCTCTCACTCTCTCACCCATCCCCTCTGTGAACAAGTGTCCAGGAAAAGTGTTTCGTGGTCAGAGGAGGTGTAGAGGGATCAGGGTGAACGATGGACAGTGAGGGCGTGAGGCGAAGAAGCAGCTAGAGTGTAAATCAGATGGTTTGAGCATGACGGGGGGGGAAAAGTGAGGAAAACCAGGGTGTTACTAATGGTGAGAGAGCAGGCTGATCTCTGAGAGACCTTAAGTCAAATCTAGAGAAATCTCTGCTGTAACTTCATATACTTGACAGTGGTGGTGTATCAGGGGAAATGCAAAAAAAAAAAGAAATTGAACCAGAAATCACAATTATTCCAAGACATGAAGATTTGTATTATTTCTTCAAAAGTAAGAGAGGTGGAGAGCGGCACGCAATGATGCAACCGTCAGCCGTTACTACTCCTCGGAATAAAAAAACAAAACAAAGAGCCACCCACTTGCAGAAGCATGTCCAGCTGATGTGAATATGTATTTGTGTTTACTAGAGGACAGAACATTTTATTCTCTCCTCTCGAGCCACTCCCCCACCCGCCACAAGAGCTCAGGACGCAGCTCCTCTCCTCTCCCTCCCTTGTTGCTTTTGTTTACAGAGGACCCACACCTCACGTCAGACCTGTCCAGTCTCACTCATCTGTCGCCGTGTTAAGATGGAACTTGTTGCTAGTGGCAACAGCACAGTCGACACTGCTGTCTCTGTGGATAAATAAATATCTCCAAGTCTCTTTACTCTAAAAAGCCATTAAGCTAAATTCCTTTTGGATTTTTGGGTGTTGTCTGATATTCATGTGTCATCTTCAGCCTGAAGACTGACACCAGCCTCTGCAGGATGATACATAGGATACGTACGTAGAATTTAAAACCATTTGGATGAAATTAAGTTGTAAGGTTTTAATTTTTTCCTGCCATTAGTATTTGAATGATGAGTCTTGGTTCCAGTTTATTTACAGACGACCTGTTGTAATGCCTCCGAGCCCCCTGGCCTCATGCAGAAATTGTTCCCTGTGGTGGTGCAAATGTTTGATCAGGTTTCCCTTTGTTATACTCACTCGTCTATTGCTGTACATATGTGTCTCTAATTCAAATGAATCGTAAAAACACTGTAAACAATGTAATGAAACCCAGAGTAGATATAAAGGTGAGTTTCTGTTCAAGATCGAGTAAAATTCACTTTTAAATCAGACTGCGACGGCAGTTTGTCTGTCTGTTATGTGATCTCAAGTGACGGACAGTGTTGAGGAACATGAGACAACAGCATGTGACAAATTAACAGACAAAGACGTCCCTCAAAATGTCATAACTTCCTCAAATGAACTGTTGGGAACTGAAAAAGGTAATCTGTGTGTTCTGATTGTATGTTAAACATGTATGAGGGGGGAAAAGTTCAGATTTTATATATACACAGATGTATAAGGGGAAAATAAAAGCTTGGCGTACTTGGTGTACTAATGAAGCACTAACATCAGCTTAGCTACTGTCGCCAGGCAGCCATTGCAGCTGTGGAAGCAGCTGACGTGTCAGTCGGCACGACAGCGCCTGGATCCTGTGTCCTGCATCCTGTGTCCTGCATCCTGCCCCAGCCAGAGGGTCACTGCTGATTCAGAGTCTCTCTCCTATTTCAATGCACGTTCACAACAACCTATGACTACTTGAATGAACTCTGATCAGAACGGCATCAAGAAGAAAAAGAACATAAAAAAAAAAGAAAGAAAAACAGGTCAGAAACGTCATGAAGGATGAGACAGGCAGCGACACTGACATGCCTGGAAGAATATTACCCTCGATGTGAACCTAATCAATGTCATGTTGTTCAGTAAGAAATGAAAGAAACTGTGTAGTAAGTGTTACTGATGGAAAGCTGTTTGAGATTTATTTCTGTCTTGTCCGGCGTTTGTCCTTAAAATGCTTAAAATGATTAAATCAGTCTTAGCACCTTCAGGTCCGACTGAAAACAACACTAATATTTCTCTGTGTTGTGAGTCCACTGTGAGAACTTCTCTTCTGTTGCAGGTATACACTCTGTGTGGTGTTGTTGTTGTGTGTTATTGCTTCACTGCACGTCACTAAAATTCAGTTGGACAGAAAGGTCCTGGAATAAAAACGCTTGATTGTGTGTCAGTTTCATTGTGTTTTTGTGATTGTGTACTTTGTGTACCTTAAGAGCGCCTGCAAACTCCACATAAATACCTGTCCCTGTCTGCAATACCATTTACGACCACAGTCAATTTGCAATTAGAGAACCATTGTAGCACATATTTTATGGAGGAACTATAAATCTACCAGAACTGTCAAAGTAAAGCTGTAACCTACAAGTCTCTGTTGATGATTATAAATACTGTAGATAAAGTCACTATAACTTGATTTATCATAGAGATGAAATGATTAGTTGTTTGACATAAAAATGATCATCAGTTATTATTGGTGATTGAAAAGTTACTTACTTTGATTTTTATTTGTTTTCTGAGGAGGTCATTTAAACATTTGGGTATCACACACACACACACACACACACACACACACACACACACATAAATACATTGTCTGGTCCTGAAACCATAGAACCAGATTTATCTTTATTTTATAAACACAACAATTTACCATTCACTCTTTCCTTTTTCTGGTGAAATACTTGATATTTCTCCTAGGCTCGGAAAAATCATTCAAATAAACACAATAAAACTCACTCTTTGGTTTAACAACTCAACCGTGTTCACACAAAGGGTTTATCTTGTGATCCAGGCTCACAACCACTACAGCACATACCTCCACCAAGGCCCAACAGTCCCCTTTGAATTCAATCAAGCTGCTCTAAATTGCCCACTCATAGATATCAGTCCCTTACATAAGCCTGGTTCTTTTCATCTTTTCATATGAAATGTTCTCTGGGAAATCAGTGAAAATGTGAAAAAATAAACAAAGAAAGTGAAAACAAAATCCTGGATCTGCCCCATTTGTTTGGGTCAATGCTGAAAAAGATGCGCCGGGTTCTTTACGGCCCATGTCCCATCCTTACACCACGTTTTGCAGAATTGCGTTTGGCAGTTTTTGCTGACAAATAAACCGAAAAGTGGAGGTAACTATCAAAGTAAAAGCAAAACATCTGAAGACTACATCCCAGAGGGGCTTGACGTCATTATGGATCTCTCCTCAGGTGAGTTAATAGTGTCTCTGCTCAGTTAATCTGATGGATGGTGAACAGGAACTCTCAGCTCCAACGAGACAGTGATTTACAGGAGCCATATACAGACTGCTCATCACAGCCTCACCATCAGCACTCAGTGTTATCTGTGGGCCCAGGACCACAGATAGGAGGAGGAGGAGGAGAAGGACGAGGAGGAGGAGGAGGAGGAGGAGGAGGAGAAGGACGAGGAGGAGGAGGAGGAGGAGGAGGAGGAGAAGGACGAGGAGGAGGAGGAGGAGTCCTTGCACTGCTCCCAGTGCCCTTGTCCCACATGACACTCAACCTGACTCTGATGGAGAAGAGAAACCGATGCTGGCAGAAGCCGTGTCAATATTATTCCACTAATCTCGTGCTTGTTTCATCGTTTGAAAGTGAATTTCTCAGAATGAACGGGAATCGTGCAGGTGTCTCAACCTGTTCAAAATAAAAGACGCTCCTATAAGGGATTTCAGAGGGATGAGGAACACAATTCACAACAAATACGTGATCCTAAAATAATTTTAAATCTAAGTGCACCCAGGAAATACAAGTGCTGATATAAGACAATATATAAAACGAATGTATGTATGTTCTCATAGAAGCAGCGGTATGTGAGCACACCTGCCTCCTCTTCATCCTCAGTGTCCATTATTCTGCACCCACCTATGTCCTCATCACATGTTCAATATTTGACATGCTATCATCATACGTGAGAGCTGATGCCCCTGCAGGGAGCTGGAGCACCAGCGGATGAACACAGCTCGGTGTCGTGATGTGTGTACCTGCAGACCGTGATGAGGTTTTTTCGCTCCACGCCGACGCTCCGGGCAGACGCCTTTTTCGATGTCAGACCCATAGCCATTGCTGTCTGCATGCAGCCCGACTCCATCCAGCCGCGGCCCCGGGGCCTCTTCGGGATCCGTGCCCAGGCCAGGACCCCTCCCTCCGCGGGCCCAGTGTCCTACAAACACCCGGTGTCCTCTGCGGGGGATGCGGGGAGGTCGCTGCTGATGCTGCGGGAGGAGGACGGGACAGAGACCAGCGGCAAGTTACACACGGTTCAATGTTACACTTCCGGGTGGAACTTTCAAAATAAAACCACATCTTCTTGTTTAGCTTCGATTGTGCTGACTGTTTAATAAGGATGCTTTTATTTCCACATATATTTCCGGTTGTAGTCAGAGTACGTCATGCCCTTGGTACAGATGAGAGTTCATCGTAAATAGCTTTAAAGCTGTAATTAAAAACAGCATACAGGCTAGTGTCTTGAGCGAACTACTTGTTGTTAAAACGTGTATTTTGCTTTTTGTCACATTCGTTTTTCGTGTGTGCTAACTACAAACTACCCAGGGTGAAAATAAACGTGATTTATTGGAACATAAATACAATATGCCACGTTTATAAATATATGGTTTCTATATACTCACAATATTATCCCAGCGCGGGACTGAATGCAGAGTGGGCAGAAATGTGATAACTTTAAACAAAAATAAAGAAACAATACATTAATCAAAGACATAGTCTACATATGGTAATAGCCTGAATTTAAAATATCTATTTCATTCACTTGTGAAAAAAATAAGTGAGTGAATTGCATGTAAAACAGGTTTGGGATGTAGAGTAAAAAATAATGACTTATTTATCCATACAGGACAACCAGAGCTTGTCTACAAATAATATAATATAATATAATATAAAATTCTGTATTAGAATTTCTGTGGGACCACGAGGACTCCAGAACACTGGGGGGCGCTGTCTCTGCGGCGTTAATCATTTTTATACGGGTGGCAAGATGGCGGACTCAGAGGAACCCAAAGCGGCTACTTGTACTTTTTTATTCAAAAAATCCACAAAAAAATTCTCCGGACGAAAGAGAAAAGCCAGTGACAGCGATAAAGGTGATGATTAATCCTTTAACGAATGATTGTGATGTTCTATTGAGATTATCTAAAGGCGGAAACGACGTAGCTTTGTCAACAGCCCTGAGATGTCAGAATAAACAACGAGGCTTGATGTGACTTCTTGTTTTCCTCACATTGTTTTTAATAATGACGCCGGTAGTTTCCATGCTTGTTGCTGACGTTAGAACACTCAGAAAAACTCTGTTAGTTGTTGGCAGGTCGATCATTCATGCTGCGTTTCAGCTTCTTCTGAATTTGGAGGGAGGCGACGTGTTTTGGTAAATAGCATTTTCTCTTTGTTGTGTTTGTTCGGATGTTCTGCTCGTTGAACAGTGTGACCCGGATGCGTAATAAGTAGCCATTAGAAGGTGGTTTATTGTGGCTAAATGGATTCGCATGGTCAGCGACAATACTCCGAGGTACTCCAACTGTGTCAAGAAAACATGTCGCTACAAACCAGGGTACAATCTCCTACTGTCCAGATTCATCCAGCCTGTGTTCACCGCAGCTTCGGGCTTCTGTTCTTTGCTGACAGGAGTGGAATCTGATGTGGTCGTCTACTGTCGTTGACTGTCAGATTCAACATGTTGTTCGTTCTGAGATGCTTCTTCTGAAGAGTGGCGATCTTATTCATTTTAGTCTTTCTGTCAGCTTCAACCAGTCACCGAGATCAAATTGTTCTCAATGTGAACATTAACTGGAGTTAATCCTGACTTAAATAAGTTTAACTTTTTTTTCAGATGGCAACAGTGATGAGGACCAAAGCTCTGTGGTCAGAAGAGATAAGAAAGGCACCAAAGTCAACCCCATGATTCAAAAGGTACAATAATATTTTAAAATATTACCCTTTAAATGGTAATATTGTAGTATTGCTGAGGTGAGACTGACAATTGTCTCGTCCCTGTCCAGACAAAGAAAGTAGAGCGAGAGGCTGTATCGTCCAGTGAAAGTGAAGGAGACAAAGAAGACAAGATCACTGTTGCCTACAAGTCCACACGATCAGCTGTGAGTTGAACATTTTTTGTCATATCATTTTTAAGAAACATGTCACCTTGTTGTGAAGCCACAACTTAGCTTAACGAAAGCCGATATGAATAAATCTTTCTCACTGTTCTGCTGATCTTCATAACAGAAACCAGAGGGACCCGACGACATGGGTGCGACCGCTACATATGAGCTGGACACGGAGAGGGACAAGGATGCTCAGGCTATATTTGAGCGGAGTCAGAAAATCCAAGACGTAAGAGATGAGATGATTTTATTCTTAATGTTACAAAAATACACCACATCATACCTGAAACATTAAATTGTGTTTAGCTTTTTCTCACTAACCTTTGCAAGTGAAATCTATCATCTGTTTCAATGTTGAATTAATAGTTTCCTCCTCACTGGTTTAACCCTTTTTCCTCCTTCAACAGGAGCTGACTGGCAAAGAGGATGATAAAATCTACCGTGGCATCAACAATTACCAAAAATTCATCAAGCCCAAAGATACCACCATGGGCAATGCCTCCTCCGGCATGGTCAGGTGAGTGAAGGGTATTTGATGAACAATGAATGCTAATGTCATCAGTCGTTGATTCATATCATTTTCTTCTATCTTCACAGACAAGGACCAATCCGAGCCCCAGAACACTTGAGAGCTACAGTCAGGTGGGACTACCAGCCAGATATCTGCAAAGACTATAAGGAGACTGGTTTCTGTGGTTTTGGAGGTGAGTTGTAGAGTAAGTCCATTAAAATATGAAAGTCATAATTTGTTGAATAGATAATATTAATGCTAACTTTTCCAATCCTACTGTTCTCCTCTCTTGTTTTCAGACAGCTGCAAGTTCCTTCACGACAGATCAGACTACAAACATGGCTGGCAGATCGAGAGGGAGCTGGAAGAAGGCAGATACGGAGCCAATGGTGAGTTCAGGAGGGGGATTTCATATCAGTTTTTCTGTGCCTGCAGTATCATTTCCTGAACATCCCTGTGCTTAAAATCTAGATGATGAGAACTACGAGGTGAGCAGTGATGAGGAGGATTTGCCCTTTAGGTGCTTCATC